ACTGGCTAGCTTCACTAAGCGGGGCCTACCTGCACATACCAATGCACCCTGCAAGTTGTCATCTCCTTTGAGTCACCCAGCTGGGCCAAGTATTCGAATCTCGGGTGCCTCCCCTTCGGGTTATGCACAGCCCCCTATGTTCCACCAGAATGGATGGAACAGGTGGTGCTACTGCTTCACCAAACGTCGGTACACATCAATCCTTACCTAGATGACTGGTTATTACATAACTCAAATAAGGGGTTATTAGCCAAGCAAGTAAGGCTAACACAGGATTTACTTCACCAGTTGGGCTCTTTAGTAAATCAGACAAGTCCCATCCCTACCAAATGCAACAGTTGGTGTTCCTGGGCATGGAGTTCGACACAGAGGTAGACTTGGTATATCTATTTTGAGCACGTTGCTTGGCACTTAGCAGCTTAGCCGAACACCTAGTCAGCGTTCCCTCAGTGTCCCTCCGAGAACTAATGCGGATCATTCAAATCATGACCTCGGTTTGAATAGTAGTTCCCCAGGCCGCATTACCCAGCCGCCCAGTACAATACTTGTTGATAGAACACCGAGCTCTCCTACGGGACTTAGACAGGCTGGTATTGATCTCGGACCAAGCGAAGGAAGCCCTGCCCTGGTGGTCGTCACTGGCCAACCTCGGACAGGGGGTCCCCTTGGACCCACTCATCGCAGCTATGACAGCTATAACAGATGCCTCCCTCCAAGGTTGGGAAGCGCATCTACAAACAAGCCCAAGGTATATGGCCCCCGCCTTAGTTTTGGGATCGCCATATCAACCAGCTCGAACAGAAATCAGTATACTTAGCACTACCACACTTTCTACCCGTAGTTCGAGACCACAGGGTCCTGCTCCGCACAGGTAACGCAGCGGTGGTCTCCTTCTACAAGGAGGGGGGGGGACGCATTCCTCATCGTTGTCAGTCCTAGCAGAGCAAATTCTTTTTTGGTGCCTGGAATACAGTGTGGAGCTAATTGCACACCACCTTCCAGGAACAGTCTGGCAGACGCCCTTTTGAGGCGGCACCATCTCCAGAACACGAAGTGACAGATACCCCAGTGGGTAGCCTCCAGGCTGTTTTGACTTTGGGATGGTCCAAAGATAGACCGGTTTGCCACACCCTGAAACGCCAAGCTCCTGACGTACATAACACTCCTGCCGACTCAAGGAGCCTAGGCCAGGGACGCCTTGCCGATCCTGTGGGCCCACATAGATGTGTACGCCTTTCCTCCCTTCCCGCTAGTTTGCTGGGTACCGAAGGAAACTTCGACAGGTGCACAACTGCATATTGACACTGGTCACACCAATTGGCCAACCAAGGCCTAGTTTCCACTTCTGTTGTGCTTCCTGATTTACAGGACATGCTGTCCCAACTGCTTTCCGTAATCAGAGGCCGAGACCCCAAACAAGGGAACCGCCCAACTGGGATTTGTCGGTTGTGTTGTTCGCTCTAAGCAGATCGCCCTTTGAGCCTCTCCGATCAGCACCACTCACATTTTTGATGTGGAAAACAGTCTTCCTACTGGCCCTCGCCTCAGGTAGGCGTCAACCAGAACTGGGGGCATTGTCTTCCTCGGATGATTGTGCCGCCCTTATGGACAGTCAAGTTGTGCTAAAGACATGAATCAGATATCTCGCTAAGAACCAAATCCCAGGACATGATCTTCAGTCGATCGGCATTCTCCGGCTGTCAAATATCCTGTCAAGGAATTGCTTCTCTGCCTGGTTCGAGCACTGAGTTGCTATGAAAACCGTACTAGGGACTCAAGATGGGGTGCCAAGCACTTTTTTTTATGTTACAGCCAAGGCATGTAGAATAAGCCGGCCTCTCCGACTTCATCACCAGGTGTATTACTGCGACTGTATGAGAGGTCTATAATACTTTAACTTCCTCAACACAGAGCTTGCAGAGACACCAAGCGCACACGAGTGCATGAGGTCTGTGCGATTGCTACCTCACTAGTGCTAGCGTCAGGCACCACCTTCGAACATATACTGAGGGCAGGCTTTTGGAGAACGCAAAACGTCTTTATCAACTACTACCTAAGAGACTCCCAATCCATTGAGGAGGGCCTCTTTAGGTTGGGTCCCCTCGTAACGGGTCAGACTGATTGCTGACCCAGCCCAAACGACCACAAGGGTACCTCCGCATAGGCGATAAGTCGGTCTCAGCATCTTTGCGGACAGATTTCTCTACCATCAGCACTCCTTGGAAGTTTCCAGATCTCTCCTTTCGGCCTATGTCCTCATGCAGAACTGTTTCGGTCTTCACTTCGAAAGCATACTACCCCTGAATTTGTTTTGGTTCTAGCTTTCTTGGGCACACCGAACCCTGTCACCGTAGCAACATTTTTGGCTTTTTACTTTTTGGGACATCACAGGCAAGGTAAGACACCACCCTCTTTTGGGGGTCTTAGCTAGGTGATGAGTGGTAGTTATAGAGTGTATCATCCTTGACTGTGGAAAAAGACTTTCATCATTTTCTGTTTGCTCAGAAAACCTGCCATCTATCGGCATCTGACTCAAAATAGTCATTTTGACTGACTGGAGTCTATGGTGGGTAATTGAACGTAGTGAATTTAGGCAGAGGGTTCTTCAAACCTGCCTATTCATATAGTTCATACCCACCATAGACTCTGGGTCCTCCCCAACCACACCACTCTTTCCGTAGCATTGGTCTAGTCCTCAGTGTGGAGAGAAAGGAACCAGAGTGAATATCAGGGTATGATGGCGCTGCCACATTACCTCGGTCACGTGGTTCGTGATGTAAGGGGAAAAAAACTTGGTCATGGGGCTTGATAGATTTTATCTCTCTGCCTACAGTTCAAAAT